GTTTGAGCAGAGCAAAGTGGACTGCTGCCGCCGTAAAATGACTCCAGTCTTAACAATTTCAGCTGTTCATGTGAATGTTATGCTACTAGTTGTGATTATGAATGAATGGAAATGTTTGTATAACCGTGTAATGTAAATCTGACAGTAACGTGAAGATTTAGAAAATGCTGTCTGCATTGTCCCTGGGTGTAAGTGTGATTTGTCTTGTTTGCCTCTGTGTCCCTGTAATGGACTTGTGACCTGTCCAAGGTGTCCACCACCTCTTGCACAGTCATTGCTGAAGACACCAGCTCCCCTGCAACCCTGCTAGCGGGTAAAGAAAATGGATGGATGGACAAACAGCTATAAATCAGCAACCCTTTGTCCCCACCTCGACTAGCTGTTAGTTCATCATTGAACCAGAATAAAGGTGATTTTTTCCCCCTCTAAATTGAATTAAGTTAAGGTTCATGGTTCTTTACTGTTATTCACATCACATGTGGTACATGAGGTGGAACGAAATTGTGTATTCAAGGTTCCAGTTACATTCAAAAATAGTAAAAATATAAACTATAGACAAAGAAACAGTATGTGAGGATCTAAGATATATGCTAAACAATAATAATAATGTAATATAATAAGGTGTATTAAACAGCAGCCTGAACATGAGTCTGTTGTGAGCAGATGGGTATGATTATAGCAGCGTATGGGTAAGCAATCATCAGCATGGATAATCAGCAGCACAGATAAAGTGTTAAATCTCCAATTAAAAAGTGTAATTACAGCGATTTTTCTGATTAGGGGTTCATGGGTCTAACAGCTTCAGGGTAGAAGCTGTTCCTCAGTCTAGTGGCTCTACACTTAATGCTCTGCAACCTCCTTCCTGAGGGGAGTGGGGCAAAAAGTGTGTGCGCTGGGTGAGTGGAGTCCTTCAGGATGCAGGTGGCCCTCTTCCTGCATCTAGAGGTGTAAATGTCTGTGATGGTGGGGAGACTGACTCCAACAGACTTCTGTGCAGCCTTCACCACTCTCTGCAAAGCTTTTCTTTCTGCAGCTGTGCAGCCTCCATGCCACACGTTGATGCTGGAGCACAGGATGCTCTCCACTGCACACCTGTAGAAGCAGGTGAGGACTAAGTCCAGCTCACCCCAGCTGCCTGAGGAAGTAGAGTCACTGATGTGCCTAAAAGCCATATTAACAATAAATAAGATGATTGCTCATGACCTTGTATAGAGTTTTACTTTAAAATCAATTTAACTTTTATCCTGTGAAAGATCATGGATAAAACATTGGACAATTTTCAACTGCTTGCACAAAACTGAGCCCAAAATTCAGTTTTCACTTAAACTGTCTCCTTTGGAATTTCACAGATACTATTTGTGACCTAATGACCAGGAAGCTTCTTGTTCAAAATTCACAATTTGTGTGCAAAGGCCACACACGTTGTTTAATTCCCCCACCTTAACAAGCCTCGCTTGTAAATGAGTCCCCAAGTCTCAATGGGATTAACCTGTATAAAGAAAGGTTGAATGAATGAATGAAAAACCTTGGCAGCTGCCCTCATGTTTTCGATTGATTGTACATTTTAGAAATAAACATGGGCATATTTGGACCAGTTTTTAATAATTGCTTTTAAAATAAAAAATAAAAAAAATGTTTTCTGTCACAGGAGAGCTCCTTTGTGGGTGTCAAATTACAGCTTGTGCGCCTGAAACATGTTGGAGACACTTGCAGCAAAACTGAGATAGGTTTGAGACATCCACAACAACTTTGCGACTATTTTGATAGAACATTTATCCTACTTGTTGTTGAACATGGTCAAAATTCAACCCACAAACCTGCCAACCTTTGTGAATGAACAACTCAAATGTCTCAAGACATTTTAAAGACTCCCTCATGAAAGCTGTTCGCCCAGCAGCTGCAGTCCAGCAAGAACAACAACAAATATGACCTTTTAATTGTTTTACAGACGAGAGACTCTCATCTAAAAGTGATTTAAACACAAATCAAACTTTTGTGTTGGGCACATTTTTGAAACCTTGTCAAAGAAGGTTAGAAATCTGTGATTTTATTTACCCAATTCTTGTCACACGGGGGTGCATTTATTGCATCATCAGCTGATCCATATTTAGAACGTTACATGAAAACAGCTGTTGGTTTGGAGAGGATTTCATTCCTGAGCGCAGCTGGATGTTTTGTATAATCTCACATAATTCCATCTTTACCACCATCCTGAATCATCTGCTGCCTCCTGCACAATGGTTTTTAATTTTGAGGCGTCTGCACTTTAAAGTTTGACTTTCATGCTTAATATTGGGCTTTTTGTCCCAACAGGCATGAGGAGCTCTCAGGGAGCCAGCTGTAATATCTGTATCAGCCTCTCCAGTTTGGGTGAACCATCCCTTTCACAACGACTCTCCGGGCTTTCATGGCAATTTACTCTCACATCTACACAAAGGAGTCCACAGAGACTGTCTTTGCCAGATAGACAACTAACAGCAGGTTGCAAAAAAAAACAACAACCAAAAAGCGAATTTCAACCATTTCGCCAACAATGAGTGCCGACGCTCAGTCAGCAGCACGCTGAACGCATCAGTTTTAATAAACACACGACTATTTGATGTGATAAGCCGAAAATGGAGAGAAATGAATTATATTAACAGTAATTTTACAAAGTTTTTGGAAGTGCCTTGGGGGCTTTGCAATTCACTTGTCAGTTTATTTGAAGTATGTTTGCAATTACTGCATTTGTTAAGATATGCCAACATTTTTTACTTGACATGTTGCTTTGGGCAATTGACATTATTGATTTAAAAATAACAATACGGCTGCAGTCTGAGCCCCATTTATAAGTAAATTCATAAATCATTTACATAGTGTTTTAGCATAATATTTTTCTTTACGAATTTCATGTCACTGACAATTACTTTAGCTATCATTGAGATTATTATCCTACTGAGCCCAGATGAGTCAACATCTACATGGAGGCAAGATACTTTTATATCATCGTAAACAAAGTTATTATCCATCAGGACAGGAAGTCTCAAATTATAAAAGAGAAACAATACGAGCATATATGTTTTGTCTCGTCAAGGTGCTAAACTTCTCTGCTAATGAGGATTGGGTTTAATGGAGAGGAGAGAGGGAAATTTGTTTTATTCCATGGACTGAATATATTGCTATGAGGTTTTACACAATCACCCTTGGGTATCAAGAGACTTTTAAGAAAACTACATAACGTTTCATATGACAAGTGAGATTATTCATACAATGAATTTTTAATTGGAGAAACAAGAAAAACAATAGGAACATACAAAAGTGTGAGTGCTCCGTTTTCATCTCCATTTTTTTTCCCCCCTGTGTTCTTGCACAACTTGAATTCTCTTGGGCATTTGTGCACCTTAATGTGATGACAGAACATCAATTACAAATGCATATCTCGCTCGCTTATCTGTTATTTGCAGATGAGAGTCATTTCAGTCGAGATGCATTGTTACAGATTAGAATCGCCTCGGCAAAGAAGGAAATGTTTGAACAGAAGAAGCACTATTTTAAGCATTCTGCCGCGGCCGTGAAAACAAAGGAGGATAACACATCGGCGAGTACATCACAAAAGACAGCTGAAGTCTGTGCATCTTTAATTACAGCACGCGGCTTTAACATTATGCAAAAACAGAAAGGACTTGGTACAAAACACAAAGTCAGACTCACAAAGCTTTCACTGTTTTTTATTCAATTTTTTTTACTGACATGGAGTTGCTTTCTTTCCTCTTCATTCTCTTTTTACATTTTTATGTCCAGTATTGCACGCCTTCATTTAATTTGTGCACATGTTTGTATGCAGCTAATTAGCTCTCACTGCAAAATTGCATATTGTCTGGAAGTAAATGTTTTTTTTAAACCTTGAGTTGTTTGATTGTTTGAGTGACAGCATAAACCCTGCACGCTCTGTTTTAACTGCAATTTGGGTTTTTTTTTTGCACATCTGGATTTAGAGTGCATTTATTTTCCTCTTGATTCCTTCAAAATTTATTTTTTCTTGTCTACACTTTGGGATATGGAAATGAATCTTAGCTGCTTGTTATGTAATCTATACACTATAATAAAGTAGCACAGCATCTTGAGAATACCTCTGTAATCTCATGCAACCCCGTCAAACATCTTTGCCTTACCTAAATTTACTTTATGAAATTATTGCAGAAAGCTTAAGAAACGTGATTTATTTTAAAAGGAGGTCACAACAAAACAGGATGGGGTGATGTTAAAAAACGTTCCTATAATGAATGAAATTTATTCCATGATGAGTTTTGGACAAAATAATGTGAGCAACTTAAAGTATAATGCAGAGCATTAAATCACAATCAGCAACTTTGTGAGCTTTAACAATTGTAACCGGGCTGATTTATTAGAATGAACCACTGCTGATCTCATTAAAAAAATCTTGATTTTTATACCATCTTGTAGAAAACATTGAGCATTATTTGGAAACGTGGAGGCTGTGTTGGTTGATTAGCTGACCTTTGCTTATGAGTGGACAAAAAACACTTGATAGGATGAAAAGATTGATTTATTACCTCACAGTTAATTTTTACTGCTGCTAACATGCTTGTGGCAGCCAACACAATAGTTTGATTAAATACTATCACTGAGAGTTATACAGTCTTAGCAGATCATCTAGTTTAGAACAGCAACGTAAAAAAAAAATAAAACAAAAAGTAAAAAGAAAAGACAAATGCTGCTAAATTAAACTGATTAGTTTCTTGTGATGTCTTTTGAGCTAAAATGCTGTGATTTTTCAGCATCAGAAAGGAAATAAAAATGATGAAAAAGTGACAGAAATTAACAAGCTGTGCGTTTTAGGGGAGAAACAATTAATTCTTTTTGGATTGACTTGTATTTGATGTAAAAGAACAAACCAAAAGCCTGCTTTGGTCTCAAAAAGTCAACTGGAATATTTATCAGAGGGAGTTTTCATCCACATCAACAGAAACAATCGAAACCTCAAACAGCTCCCGCCCACATCAGATCCTCCCCAGCATGCGAGCGATCCACCAGTTGCACGGCATCACGATCTGACAGATGACCCGGCCTCCTTGGTAGTAGTACGGCCAGGGGTTGAATCCGCCCAGAGGCTCGTGGTAGCGTCGACAGTAGCGGTAACCACGGCGACAGTGCTGGCAGCAGAAGCTGCGGTCATCCAAGTACTGATCCAGCTCGATTCCAACATCCCTCTGAAAGAGGACACAGGGTTACAATCACGCACATGACAAATGCCAGTCCTCCAGAGGCAAGGGCAGGACAGAGGGAGAGGAGGAGGAGGAGCGGGTGACGAGAATGGATGGGGCTGCTCTGGTTCTAGGTCAGCAGAATGTCCATAAAAAAACCAAACGTGAGTGAAAAGATCAGAGCTGATGTCTGTGAAAATGCACAGTTGTGTCATGCCTAACGACTGACAAAGAGATCAAGATAACTGCAAGTGAAGCAGGTCTGAATTGGGCTTCAGGAGAATAAAATACGACAACGTCCTTGACCTTTTAACGACACCTGGGGTGGTGTGACAGGCGGCTGCACGGTGAAATCAACCACAACCTCCCCAGCAGCTCTGCCGTCAGTCCAAGGGACTGTAAGTTGCTAGTTACCAACATAATTACACTATTTCTTTCATCCATGACCTCTTAACTTCCTCCAATGAAGCACACACTGCACAGAAAACGGCTGCCCCTCCTCCAACAGAGCATTCAAATTATAGCTCCTCACGTCTTCATGCCCTCCCCCTGACCTTGACTTTAAGTGCAAGGCACATTCCTGAAGCAATTAGCAGAGTAATGATCGTCTAAGAAGGATTCTTTCATTTGCTCTTGCTGGCTGCCTCTGAATTTATAGGGGGGCCAAATGAAACCCAAACGAAAGGTAAATTGGGTAGAATTAATGGCCCTTAGATTTTTCCATTGTGCTGGTTGGTTCATGCCCTCATTGACTCTTTGGGCTGACTGCCATGCCTCTGATCAAGAACAACTCCAAATGGGGGTTCGGAGAAGTGCCACTTAACTTGCGCGGCGCAGGCTGAGAGACAGCGACTGCCCTCGGTATGCGTTTGACCACATTTCAATCTCTTTTAGTAAATGAATCCTCTGAGACGATCCGGCAGTCTTGTTAATCTCCTCGGATCCGGTTCGGCCTTCACATTCAGAACAAACGAGTGCAAAAATAAATAAACGATTGCTTCCAATGGGCCAACTACGTTTAGTCGTGCAGAACAAACACATCCACTGTTGGGAATAGAGAATGTGGAAAATGTTTAAGAGGACCGGACCCTGAGGGGACGTAGAGCTGAGTCCCTTCAGTCCACCAACATCTCAAGTCTGGGGAAAACTAGATTTCCTGCATCTATTCGACAAACCACTGAACGCTCTTACACACTCTTTTCTGTGGACGTTGGCTATTTGGAATTTGTTGCAAAAGTTTGTTCTGCATTCGATTTGTGCTCTGATAAAGTGAGCAACAGTACACACTTGTGAGACATATTTAAAACGCATAGGAAAGGGTGCAACAGATGATATCAAGGAAACCTGGCTTTGATTTATGAGTATGACAGGCACAGCTAGGCTTTTAATGATTTATTGTTTCAGTCAGGTTTCAGGTCATCAGCTTCCAGGCAACAATCTGTTATGGAAACAACACGAAAGCTGTCAATGGACCAATGATAATCTTATCTCCTCCTCGCAGCCCAAACTGGGATGTAACGAAGTCTGGAGCTGCAGCTCGGAAAATGAGGAAAATATTTTATTCAAATGACGCTCATCAAAACAAACAGCCAATAGGCAGCATTGTACCTTAAAGAGAATTAATCAGAGTTATCCCTTTAAAATGGAGCGTTCATATTAATCACTCTCGCGCTGAGTTGCTGTCTCTGGTGGGGAAGCTGTGACGATAAGAATAGTTCACCTTGGGAAATCTGAGACAGTCACTCACAAACAAGCAGCATTAATGAAAAGTAAAAGCCATTATCACCTTGCTGCATCTGATTTCATCACATATTCATGCTCACATATACACACACGCGTGCTCCCTCACGCAGGAACCTCTGTGCATAATATCGAGACACTGGATGTGAATGAGTCGGCAGAGTCGAAATCTGTGTCAGTCATTCAATAAGATGTAGCAAATCAAAGCATGACTCCTCTAATCTTCACACTTGTTGGCATTATTTCACACGCTGATCACTGCTCTTCATGAGCTCGAAGCGCATGTCTGGATGTGTTATTAAATCTCAGAGCAGGGCTCATCACATTCATCCGGTGATCAAAACAGCAAAGATAACGTTTCTTTTTCACGCCCTGCTTTGTAGTCAAAGAGGCTCTTTTTAATGGAAGTACACAAGACGGAGCAACATCTGGAATGCTTTGCTGCGAGTCTTGACCTCAGATTTTCATCTTGCTGTGCTTTACAGAGAGGTGGAACGACAATGAAATGGGATATACAGTAATTCAAAAGCACATAGTCATGTATTTCAGCGTGCTCAAAGTGATAAGAAGCTTTAGCCTCAGCATAAAGATTCCTCTGGAGGCACAAATGGCTTCTGCATTTATAGATTTGAATTCCTTCAGCTTTCTACACCTCTATAATGCATCTGAATGTGACGCCGGTAGGTTGCCAAGGATTTAACACGTTGAACATGCAATATGAACCAACGGGGCAGAAACTACAGAAACGTGCATGAGTGTGGTCGATTTATATCAGGGGCTTATTTTAGATATATGGGTCAAGAGCAGAGGTACAATCCTTTCAGGCTTGTCAGAGGGGGGTACTTACAGTATTTTTTTGGTGTATAAGTCGCAGTTTTTTTGCATAGATTTACTAGTCCTGCGACTTACATGCCGAAGTGACTTATATACGTGTTTTTCCATATTCATAACGCAATTTTTGACTGATGCTTTGAACCAGAGTAAACATTACCAGTTGTAGCTGCTAGAGGGCCCTCTAGGCTTTGGACAACTATATGCTGTTCCTCTGCCGCTACTCCCCCCCCCCCCCCCCCCAAAAAAAAACCATTAGCTTAGAGACAACTGAGAAAAACTTAACACGAGTAACATGTCCCCAAATAGAAAATCCTATTTTGCAGATTACAAACTGCAGGTAATAAAATATGCTGTGGTAATCGAGCAGCAGAAAGAAAGTTTGTAAACGGGTGGGGTCCGTGCAGCCTGCCCAGGGGAACCTGGCGAAAGGGACGGCCACACGGCGGCAGGGGATCCCCCCCTCACGGGGAACCTTCCCCCTGTGTCTGGCTGGCTCCCGCCAGGCGCATTACCTCCGCAGCGGTGTGCCACGACCATCTCTGGGTCATCCTGGAAGGGTCTGGTGACAAAGCTGACTCACGGCTCCGACCCCAGGAAGAAACGAGGTGCAGGCAGAGGAGTGCTCCAGATCTCGCGGCTGGAGCAGCAAGCTCTTCTGCGTTACTTTACCACCCAAGCTGGGAGGAAGGGGGTAGTGAAGTGCACGATCCGCAGCCCCGGGCAGCAGCGAGGTGCAGGCGGGTGACGGATGCTTTAAAGCTCGCGGCTCACCTTCGTCCCCGTTCTGGTGGCGGAGCTGGGAGGGACACCTGGAGCAAATGTGTCTATTTGTTCAGGGTCAAAACAGCTTAGTTTCGCCTGGGCGGCACGGCGAATCCAGTGAGTCCTCCCGTGTGTGCTCCTGCAGCCGCCAATCCATTTTTGGTAGCCAACTGATTTTTGGCACGACCCTGACCCACATTTCCTAGGGGTCAGCAGTGACGCATAATAAATGCGACTTATACGCCAAAGCAACTTATATATATTTTTTCCCTCTTTGTGATGCTTTTTTTGACTGATGCGACTTATATGCCAGAAAATACGGCATTTATTTTGAAATTTTCAGGGCCACCACTGAGACAACCTGCACTTTGACATGGCAGCACAGCAAAGTTCAGCAACATATATCTGTCATCCTCAGTCGCAAGGACTCAGATGATTATTCTGCTTTATGAGCGTGCACCGTGGATGGAAGAGGCTCTGGGTTTCAAGCTTATGAAATGCAGATGAAGCAAATGCACATTTTTTGGGGCAGGCTCTACTTGTGTGATAGAAGCAAAGATAGAAAAAAAAAGAGTGTGAGGTGGAAACTATATGTGTGTGGTGCTTGTCTTCTGACTGTGTGCACATTTACATGAACGAGGGAAGCAAAATAAAAAAAAAATACAAATAAAAAAAAAGCTTGGCTCACATGTGGCATCCCCTTGGCATGAACAAGAGTTCAGACTCCCAATTACAGACTGCTGCCTGCCCTCTGCTTGGCCACAAAGGCCTTTGTTATCACCAGACCCACAAACAGCGCCTGGACGAGCTGCTGGAATGGATTGCGGTGGTATGCATTACTCAGCTGATAGTGGTTGAGCGTTTCAAAAGAGGAGCAGAGTTTTTCATCCCCCGGTATGTTTTAATTGCTGCATCTCCTGTCGCAGACACCAAGGGGGAAGAAGCGTTGAGCAGGGGGTGTTTCTGGGACGAGTCTGATAAATGTCAGAGTTATAGGACATCTCATTTCTCCGCGTGTCTCTCACTGTTTCTCGTAGCTCTAACTCATTATCCTTGAAGTTTGCTGTAGCGACAACTCACCTGTAAGTGTTGGATTTGTGTGTCTGTGCGCATACGTTTGGAGTATTATTATGCTATCCACAGTCAGAGATAATTAATCACACGATTGAGCGATTTACACGCGGCACGCCAAAAAGTGTCCCTTGGCCTCTCCACTTATTTTATATGCTTTGATAATTAAAGCATTATTAATAAATGCAACCTATCCGTGCAGCAGCGGGTGACCTTGAGAGTGTTTCTTTGCAGAGTACTGTCCACTGTCTGTGTGGGAAAAAAATGAAATAAAAAAGGCACTAACGGGCGCTGTAAGGCACAAGTAGCTGCCTTTGAAAGGGTGGATATTCCTCTCAATTAATGGGGAGACATTAAGAGAGTCTTCAATGAACTAGCCTTACTTAAACAGATATATAGAGCAATTGCTATGCCCTCTGGTGCGCAAAGTCAGTTTTAACATCAATTAGTGGGCAATTTATATGCAGAAAGAGTCGCGGCAGAGCCGGGGCTGATTGAAGCGGCTCACTGTATCTCCTGGTGTGGTCCCAGTGAAGGAGGGCTCCACTTACATAGTCATTTACAGCAGCATGGTCCAGGACGTCCCGGGCAAAACGCTGACCTATGACCTCTGCGTCGGGCGTGTCTTCACCCAGACTCTCAGCAGCTGAAATCACAGAAAGTGTTATAAATGTCAGACAGGTCTTTGTTGTTGGGAGTAACGAGAGAAATGAAGATACATACTGTAGTACAACATACATACAAGTATAAATTGTAAAGACAAACAGTTATAAGATCTACTTTGTAAGATATGAACTAAGAAATACGCTAAATGAAGAATACTCTAAGCACTAGTAGTACAAAAACCATATGTGCTGCTGTTGTTTAGCGTATTGTTTTTGCACTACTAGTACTTAGAGTATTCTTGGTTTAGCGTATTTCTTAGGTCATATATTAGACCTTATTACTGTCTTTCTTTACAATTTATACTTTTGTTGGGTGTAACTGGGACCCTGTGTACACAGTTTCATTCTACCACATGTACCACATGTGGTATGAATGACAAATAAAGAAATTTTGACTTGGGTATTTTTTAGATTTCTGTGACGTTTTATTGTCTGATCTCAAAGGGATGAAACTTTCAGAAAGTAATCTTTGAATGAACATTTAGAACTGATTGACCTTTGGAGTCAATCCAGTTCAAGATGGCTGCCACAGCTAACCAGCAATAGAAAAAAAAAAAAAAAAAAAAAAAGGAGCTATAAGTCAGTATTACAGGCATCGAGCTAAATACGGATGTGCTAGTAGCTTAGTTCTCCAACACATAAACTGAGTCTGATATCGAATGATGTCACATGACATTGAGTTAATCAGTTTTTTCAAGGTTTGACCAAAGCGGTTTCAACTTTGTCATTTCTAAACATAAGATAAACTTTCAGAGTATCCCAATTTTCTCATTGTTTTTCTTAAACCAATGTGCAAATCCAAAGTTTTTAGAAATTAACATTACTTTAGGCCTTCATGTCCAAACATTCAAGATAAAAGCAGGAACATACACTTTATTCTCCTTTTGGCAAATTTTCTTTACAAACACAAGTTCATTTTCAAGTTGCTTAAAAAGGACACACACTTCTGTTTATATTCATGCTGGAGTATTAAATTCTATATGATGTTTATCAGATTGCTTTGTGCACACGCAGGAAAACCTTTCAATTAAGCCACAGAGAATATTGAAATCTTGTACTGAAATATAGTTTCAGGTCATTTTTATCTATTGAGTCATGAGCGCCTGCCAAACAACTTAATGAAATACCACTGGGCCCATGCATTTCTAATACAAAGTGACAAATGTCCTGTAATGTTCAGTAAACAGATGTCTTCTTTTAAGGAAATACTGCAAACCTTTCAACAATCATTACCTGCAGAAGAAAATAAAAAGGACCCACAAACACATGAAGACAAAATGTATATATATATATATGTGTGTGTGTGTATACTTATGTGTACATATATGTGTATTTATATAAATATATCTCTATATAATCTATCTATCTATCTATCTATCTATCTATCTATCTATCTATCTATCTATCTATCTATCTATAAATATATATATATATATATACATACACACACACACACACACACACACACACGCACGCACACACACACACACACACACACACACACACACACACACACACACACACAAC